AAGCCAAGATGACCAAACTGAGACTGTCATATTTCAGACACATCATGAAAAAAAGGGACTCTTTGGAAAAAACAATAATGCAGGGGAAGGTGGAGGGAGGAAGAAAGGAAGGCCACATGCTAGATAGATGGTCACAGGTATGGGGTTGCAGGATTTAAGCAGAGCAGTGGAGGACAGAGGGAGATGTCTCATCCATGGGGTTCCCATGAGTTTCACTGTTAACATGTCTTTTCTTCATTTTCAGATCACAGCTGCTGACTGAGGAGACATAGAGTGTTGGTATGTAGCCACAGCATGATCTATTGGACAAGTTGAGCCACTTCAGATCCCATCTTGGATTGAGTGATGTTGCTCAGTTTGAATGGCTTAGCAAGTGGGAGATTTGTTGGAACAGCCTGTTGTCATTGTTGTTTAAGGAGCGCCATAGGTCTCCTCCCCAAGTTGTGATTATTTGGGGGGGGGGGGTTACTAATGATCTTGGTTTGCTTTGGTCTTGCAGCAAGGCAGGATTTTAAAGTGAACAAACAACAGTGGCCCCAAGATGAGCTGGTGTGGTTGGCAAAGCTGTCAGAGAGGCTGACCCTTGTTACCTGGATAAAGCCCGATGGTGGGCTCATACAGAGATTCACCATGCTCTGAAAAGTGGATTGAGTCACTTCTTGCCACATCCACAAATCATATTTCAAAGGCCTGAGCTTTACTGTGTGGATGGAGTTCACTTATCTGAGCTAGGCAACTCTATTTTCTTAATGGACCTGCAACAGGGCATTAAGGGTGTTTTGAATGCCTTGGTGGGGGATAAGGGCTAAGCAGATGCTTGCCCTGTATCTTTGGGCATGTTTTAAAGAAATTGGATTTTGGTGATTGCCTAGGACACTGTTTGGGTGGAAGGGAGGTCTATGGAACCATCTCTTTGGGCCTTGCAACCTGGGAGGTGGGGAAGGAGACACCCCTTGGGACTGCATGGAGGATAAACCTCTCTCTTTAATTCTTGGGCATTGGGAGAGGGACTTTCATGTTGGACTTCCTGATGCAGGCCAGCCAATGGATAGCACAGCTTTTGGGTTAACATTGGGGCCCAGGTGCTATTGCCCAGGGGAGACTGCAGAGGTGGTCTCAGTTGATTGAACACTGGCTGCAGCTGCTCCCATCCTTGGCTAGTTTCCCATCTAGTTTGCAATTCCGTTAAAAAGTTAATAAGTAAGTTAAGTTAATAAATGGCCCAGTTTGAACCTACTTTCTGTGTCTTGTCTTGTTATTCCTGGGGCAGGTGGGCAAATGGGAACATGGTTTGGAAGCTTTAAGAATTCTCAGAGGCCCAACACTGAAACAAATTTGAGAACTGATGAGAATAATGGTGTGTTACTGTTCACTGTTTCTAAAAGGGCACACTTGATCATAAGGCTGTACCTAGGTTCAATAGCTTGGAAAACATAGTTGTCATCTGGAGCTATCCATAAAATATGCTGTAGATGTGAGTGAAAAGAATAAAAAATTGGTTTGTTACTTGGAATGAGGCAAGGTGTGATCACAGCAGGAGTGTTTACAAGGCCTTTAAAAGTATGAGACATTTTATTGACAGTGTCCATGCACAACTTCTTAACTCAAAATCCTTTTGACTCCATCGGCTACAAAGTTCAATTACACTTAACTGTTAAACTCTAGAATGATATTATCACACAACTGGATTATTGATTAAATAATGTCTTTATTGGCTTATTTTTGTACCATTGTTATTTTCCTTAGGAAATGCCTGGACTTATATACTCCTTGTGGCTAAACAATACTGTAAGAAATTCAGCCTCCCAACCATTGTTTATACTAGTTTTCTGGCAGTTCAAGTAATGACTTAGTAGATGTATTTGTCTGCCTGTTCCTCAAAGATTTATGTGGACTATTCTGCACCATATAGGAGAAAGAGATTGTTCTGCAAGACAAACAAACAAAATAATGACCAGTGAAAGCAAGATACAGTGGACATCCCCCCCCCACAGCCATCTGACATTAACATTTGTACTTTGTTATCCAGACAAACATATTTAGATAGCTCATTACATAAGCAGGGCTTGTTGTTTTTAACAATGATAGTTGTGTAATCTTTCATGCCCCAGGTTTTTTGCATAAAGTACAATAAATTTTACTATCACCAACTGTATTGATAGGTTAATCAAAAGCTGCTACTACAAGAAATAGAGATGGATGTTGTTATGATACTTATTGATAATGTTAGACATGAAATTAACTTTTCAGTGCACACCATAATTGAATAAAGCATTTTCCAATTCATGAACAAGAAAGAATAGTGACCCACACTGATCACAAAAACTATCAAATTAAAAAAAAAATGATCAAAGGTTTTTTTTTTAAGTTTGCAGGTGTTCAGAAAATAGCAACTTTTCTTGAAAAATAGAAAGGGGGAATTCTAACATGAAGATTTAGAAAGAAAATGGAAGTGAGGAAAATCATACTATCAAGTCATACTGACTTTAATTCCTGGTATTAAATCTCTGCATTATCATCACTGCATCCAGCAACATTTTAATAACAGGATACCCATGAAATGAGTGGATTGTAGTGGGTAATTCTTAGATTAGAAGCACGTTTTATGAGGGCTGAAAATAATGAAGAGGAAACATTCCATACAACCATTATGACCATTTTTGAAAAGATCCATCCAAACAGAATCTGTAACTGACCAAATCAGGTAATATGTGACTCTAAATTAGATATTTATAGTAAAGTGATATTCTAACAGGAAGAGGCAACTTCTGTATATTGACTATTAAATATTTCTAATAAATCAAAGTGATATTGTAACAGGAAGAGACAACTTCTGTATATTGACTTGGGTTCCTGTTCTTCAAATGGTGATAGTAGGAAAAAGCACCATCTATATATTTGAGATATTTGTTAAAAGCATATTTCAGAAACTGGGGTTGTTTGTTGGTTTGTTCCTTTGCTTCACACAGTTCAAAATGCAGTATGTAACATCTTTTTTGGGATGCTGGTAAACATTTTTATGAACTTTTCCCCCTTCAAAGCAGTGGCTCTAAGGACATTACCATGCAAGCCCTGTTCTCACTGCAATCACATCAGTTAATAAAAATGGAAACATTCCAGTTTCAGCAATGATGTGACTGGAGCTGCTTCTGCCATTGCAGTCTCTTCCTAACCACCCCCCTACCCTTTGCCCTACCCAGCATGTCTTTTGGGTTTTATTTTTTTTTTAATTTTCTCTTTTTCACACAATTCTAGAGTTCTGCTAATGGGATTTTGTTAGAATATGGATGGGTTATACAGTCAAAGGTGAAATGTAGAGATGTGTGTGTGGAATTTTCCTCATGAGAACAACATCTAGAGAAACAAGTGAATCTAACAACAGATGGCCAAGAAGACATAAACATGTACTTTCCCAAAGGTACAATTCATGGACACAGATTTTGTTATGGGAAGCAAGAGATATCAAAAAGGTAAACAATCATTAGGTCATGAGAAAATAGTTATGTGGTGGATGATGGACAGCAAGGGGCTGGGTTAACAAACATCATGCACATAACATCCAATTAACATAAGGTTAACACCCAGAAGGTGGAGTATGGGAAGGGCCTAGAAAAGCCTTTGTTTAAGAATGTTTTTAATTCAAGATGTGAGCACGTGCCTGCCTGGCAATGGTTTTAACCATGGAGTTAGGAGATGGCTTCTAATATGTTTATACTGCTTTTACAATGTAACTCTTAGATCTGGAAACATGGATCTGTAACTTCTTTTTAACTTTCAACTGCAACAAGTTGGGTTCCTATGCTTTTGGGATTATTAAAGATGTAATCTTTCATGGCTGAACTGGACAAGTTCATCACAATGGATTTTACTTAGCTATCTTATTTTACTTTTATTTGAATTAATAAAACTATGCTTTTGGACTTTACAATGTGTCTTCTTGACTGAAGAAGACAGGATCCTGAAGAAGGGAAGCTGAGCCAGTTGGTGCTAAGAGATACAAAGTGGCTGTGGATCACAGCAGCCAGCTTGTCCTGGAGATTCTGCTGGGTGTCAAAGAGCATCACTGCAACACCCATCATCCACACACTGACAGATTTAAGTTCTAAAAAAGAAAGAAATACAGAAATGAGCATAAATAAATAAATAAATAAATAAATAAAGCCAATCAGCCTGCTTAGGAATAGTGAGGGTAAAAGGAGGAGACATTGACACTGTGCGACTGCCAATATTGCAACTGTCTTAGCAGTGATATTTTGCACCTGGGGAATAGTGTGCTTGTGAGGTCATTGATGGGTTCTCCCATCAGTGTTCCATACTTTTGTGACACAGCAAGTATGATCCAGAGGTGGTGTTGTGCAATAAGTACCACCATAATGCCACCATTAGTTATGGAGGTACCATCATGTATCCCTTGAAAGAATAGTCATCATACAGCTGGGAAAGAATAACATATTTGCTTTCAGTTAATGAGGAGTTTGAGAGCCAGCATGGTGTAGTGCTTTGAGTGCTGGACTAATATTCTGGAGATCAGGGATCGATTCCCTGTTCAAGCATAAAAACCCACTGGTGACTTTGGACAGGTCAGCTTCAGTCTCAGAGGATGGAATTTCAAGGATGAATTGCTGCCTCCCCTTTTGCCCTAAGAAGGGATGATGGAAGGCTAGAATGTAGCCAGGTTCACAGTACATTTACATAAAGGTAAGACAGGAGTCACTGTCACAATATGCCTCCAATGTTCACTGAATCAGTTCAGTAGCACACCATGGTTGATAGTATTAAAATCTAATGGGAGGCAAGAGAGAATTATCAGGTCTTAGTATCCCATTGCTTTCTTAATAGAAGTCACTCCTCAAGGAAACCAAGGTCAATTTGCCCCATAAACAAGATGGTCAATCTTTTATTCATCTAGAGGGGAAAGGAGAATATATATGTCAACAGCTTGTCCACATGATCAGTCAACAGCTTGTCCACATGCTTAGGCTGCAACAATTGAATCTGATCCACAAAATCAAATAAATGGGGACATCACACATCATCTGGATATGCTCTAGCAACAGTGCAAGGTTTTCCACCAAGATCTGACTAAACATTATCCCAATACACTGAACCAAAAAGCCAGACGTCAAAGAGGTCCCCAGTTCCTTTTACTGGAGATAGAGTTAACCATTCTTGAAAATTCTGAAAGAGCTCCACAAGACAGATAAACAGAAGCAGCCACAGCTTTGTTTTTCATTTTCTATTTTTTCTTTTCTTTCTTTTCTTTTTTTTTTTGCTAGATGTATGCATACAGTAGGCCTCACTCTGAGCATTATGCCATTGCTGTCAAATTGATGCCCTATCATATTTTGTTGTTCTATATAGTAAGACTAGGTCCTCAATTGGATTCTCAAAAGCATTTTGAGAATCCATTCCACTATCTAATTTTCTTGTAGCACTCTGGCCAAATGAGCACCTATAAAAAGAAGTGATGTTATGCATCCAAATCTCACCAAGTAATGGTCTTGTGACTTCCCCCATTCCTCCATCTACACATTTCTTGAAGGCTTGGATCTGATTCTTATTGAAGCAAACTGGAGGTAATTTACTCGAGAATGTTATCAAGATTTCCTAGGAAATTAATGCCTAGCTAATAAGTTAAGATTTTGTTTATTATTATTATTATTATTATTATTATTATTATTATTATTATTATTATTATTATTATTTCTATCCCACCCCTCTGCAGTGCAACAAATAAAACTCCAGTAAAATACATCCAACCCCCAAGCCCCACCCAGCCCCTTAAAAAAATATTAAACTAGAACAGTTTAAAATCATAAGAATGTTTTTACTACATCCTCTGTTGATCCTCTCCCCTGGGTTGATATTTGTGTCTGTATCAGGTTTTTCTTTAATGTTGCCATTTTTTCTATTTCTCAAGCTGTACAACAGTTATGTATAACAACCAGCAAATCACAGATATATACTATTATCATTAACCAATGATAGTTTACACATCAATACAATCAAAAAAGCAAATCTCCATATTAATTAATGTAATCTGTATAGTATTATACTTATATGACACCATCAATATTAATTGTTATCAATACGCTAATTTATCATTTGAGACTTGAATAAAAACAACAGATCCTATAATGCTACTACTGGATGAAGTATGGCATATAAAATAAGAGATGAAAGACAATAGACAACAGTCAAAGGATGATTTGAAAGAGGCAATTCAAGAGCTATGAGAAGAAATAAAAGAGACTAGAAATGAAATTAGGAAAGATTTTTAAAAAGAAATTGATGTACTGTATATAAAGATGGAGAAAATGTCATTGGATATGAATAAAACCCAAAAAGAAGTAGACATAATTAAAGAAAGAACCAAAGCATTGGAGGAATTATCGAAAGACAACACAAAGAAACAAGAACAGCAACAATCCATGATTTGGTGAATGAGCTTGGATATTGCAAGAAATGTATTAAGATCAGAGGTCTATCAGAAAAGATAAATGAAGACTTATATATAAGATTAATACCCCATCTAACAGACCTAATGGAAACTGACAAGGAAAAAATGAAGAATGAAGTTGATAAAATATTCAGAACCAATTCAGTACAAGCAAGGGAAAAGAAAATGCCATGGGATATAATAATATGTTGGACAAGATCTAAATTTAGAGACCTGGTTATTCAAAAAAGTTATGACACCAAAATAATAATGGAAGACACAGAAATAATATATATATAAAGATGTACCACCTCAGATAATGATTAATAGACAAAAATATAAGACATTGACACAACGGTCGAAAAACATGGATATTAACTATAAATAGGATAGGATGGAGGGATTATCGTTTACATATAGACAAAAAAGAATAAGAATTGATAAATAAACTAAAGTAAAGGAGATGGAACAAAAACTTAAAGATGACCTCAGGAACAAAGAAGAAGAAGAAGAAGAAGAAGAAGAAGAAGAAGAAGAAGACAAAAGAAAGACAACAACAAGAGAATGGAGATCTAAAAAATAAAAGGAAAGGGAAATGAGGAAGAGAAGCATATAGGAGAAAAGAAAGAAGAAGACGATAACTCATTGGAAAAATTAATAAACAGAAGATCAGAAGAAAGGCCCAATATGGACCAAGAATTTAATAGAGAAGACAATGGTGAAGGGTGAGTAGAAGAAGAACAATAGGAAGGAAAAGAAAGAAGCTAACTTTAAATATAAGAGAAGGATCCATTGAAAAGGAAAGACAAGAGTGGAATTAGACAATATTCTCATCTTTAAAGGGATTACAAACAAGATCTTTTAACTATCAGACTTTATTTGGGAAACCCTTCTATAAGTGAATTAAATAAATTAATAAAGAAAAAAAGAGTTGGAAGGAGTGGCACAAGTAAAAACAATCTAAAAAACTTGTAGGACAGGAAAAAATGGTTAATATTATATTGTGGAATGTGAAAGGCATTAACTCAAAGTATAAAAAGAATATTGTTTTTCATCAATTGGAGAAATTAAGAAGCGATATCATATGCATTCAAGAAACTAAAATCAAGAAAAATGAAGCTAAATATATTAGGAATCCCAAATTAGGAAAGGCATATATATCAGCAGCTGACAACAAGAAGAAAGGAATTGCATTATACATTAATAGGAAATATCATTCTAAAGAAATTTCTTGTGACCAGGATGGAACATATTTAGGAGTAGAGGTTAAATTGGAGAATCTAACAATTCTATTAGTTGGTATTTATGCACCTTTAGAAAACAGGGATGTATATTTCAATAAAATCAATGAAGAAATCAAAGATCAAAACTATAAGAACATAACAATGTTAGGTGACTTTAACTCAGTAATTGAACCCAAACTAGATAGGAAATCAAATGAAGGAAGAAAAATTCAGATAAATCAGGGGAAATTACCAAATTTTTTTTTCGAGATGCAAGAAGAATTTGGTTTGGTTGATGTCTGGAGATATCAGGGGTTTTGCTGGTTTGTATTTATATTTATTTATATTTCTTATTCTTAAATTGTTAGTGTTTTAATTGTAATTGTTTTAATTGAGTTTGATTTAATAGCTTTTTAAGGGGGGGAGGAGGGAATTATATTGTTTTAACCTGTATGTATTTTATTGTTGTTCACCACCCAGATTGGCTTGCCACAGGGTGGTATATAAATAAATTATTATTATTATTATTATTATTATTATTATTATTATTATTATTATTATATTATTAAATACAAAGAAACGAAAGGTTACACCTTTTCCAGAACCATATAACTCCTTCTCCAGAATAGATCTTTTTTTTGTATCTAAGCCCATAACAATATTGATACGAAACATGGATATTTTAACCAAATACACCTCTGACCATAATCTGATAAGGATGGAATTGGAAGAGAAAAAGAAATCATATATGTGGAGATTAAACAATGAACTACTGAAAAGAAAAGAGAATATAAAGATTATAAAGGAGACATCAAAACACTAATTCAAAGAAAATAAAACTGAAGGAATGAAGAATAAAACAATATGGGATGCTGGTAAGGCTGTGATTAGAGGGACTTTAATTAAATTACAAGTGGAACAAAAAAAGAAAGACATTAGAAAAAAACAGGAGATTAAAGAAGAATTGAGTAAATTAGAAGAAGAATGGAAAAAGAATGGCAAATTTCCATTCCAAATTTACAGGAAGATGATGGTAATCAAAGAAATAGAAAGGAAATTAAGACAGATAAAACAAAAACATTTCGAATCAGGGAATAAAGCAGGGAAAATATTGGCAAACAAATTAAGAAGAGAAAAAGAAAAGAAAATGATTTCAGAAACATATAAAGATAGGGAATTAATTACAAATCAAGATCATATTAAAAAAAAGAATTCAAAGAATACTATGAAGAGATATATAGGAATGTACAGATTTCAAAAGAGGATAAAGATAAAGTAATAGCATATTTAAAGAAACAAAATATTAATAAGTTATCCAAAGAAGACAAAGACAGATTAAATCAACCAATTACAATAAAAGAAATCAAGGAAGCCATTGGGATGATGAAACTGGGTCACCCAGGCCAGATGGATTAACAGCTAACTATTATAAACAAATTCTCAAGGAACTAAATCAACCATTAAAAGAAGTAATTGAAGATATACCACAAGAAGGAGTCCCAGAAACATGGGAAAAGGCCCATATTGTTCTAATACCAAAAGGAAAGAAAGAGAAAGCGGAACTGAAAGACTGCAGCTGATATGGAAGAGCAGAAACCAATTGAAAGTCCAAAGTCTTGTTGTTTTCATATCAGGCTCTATCTTTTAGGCTGATACTGCTGCCCAGGGAATTTGTGCAATGTAGAAAATAAGGAAATTATTGTGGTTTGTGCATGCCTAAGGCTATATGGTTTGTGATAGACATTAAGTCATGATGCAAAAACTTAAATGTCTAGTATAAACATAAATCATGTGCTGCATTTGAAAAAGTCACAGCCTGAGTTAGACCAGCTTTATGCTTCCAGTGCAGATCTATTAATGTTTACTAACAGCTGTAATCTTTGTGAAAGAT